ATCATCAGATATAATGAGTTTTGGCCAACATTGACCTGGTCTGGATTTGAAGTGGTGACCCTCAGGTGAAGGACTGTGTGTCCCATTACTAGTCCCTGGAGTATCAGTCCTTCTGGCCAAGCATTTTAATAAATATAAAGAATTACAAAAAAAAAAAAAAATCTGTGCAGACACCAAAAGTATTATAGCTTCAGTTTTGTTGCAGATGGTTAAAGAAAGTGAGAGGGCCTAAAGAATCAGAATATTGATATATGGTCCTGAGGGGACGCAACCAACCATTTTTCACAGAATTATAGGAATCAGAGACTGAATAAGACCCAGTTACATCATCTTATCCATCTCCCTTCAGGAAAGTTCATTCCCTACAGGACATTTTTCTCATTTCCTCCTCTTTGCAGAGTTGCTGCCATAAGCATCCATGAGCTAATAAATACATGTATCAAAGATGAAGTAAAATGGACAAAGCTACAGTCCCCTCTCCTACAGCTTGAAAGAAGAGCACAGCAGGAAGGCATATACTACTTATGAGACTGTCAACAGTCACTGCTATGCTGAGCCTCCATTATTCCTGGCAACTGGGAATTCCAACAAATCCTCTCTTACAGCCACCATCTCTGGTGAGACAGCACACAGTGCCAATGCTATGCCACCACGCTGCTGGGAATATTTTTTCACTTCATCCCAAACATAAGACATTGCCTTCCAACAATTTGTACAATTATTCATTGTCTTGAGACTGTCAAACTTTGGACACCCATCAAAGTATTCTATGAGACCACAGAGAGAAGAGAAATACATTGCAAAACATGTGTTTTGGAAAATGGGGCAGATTTACATTCGGCCAGAACTTGGCATAAACAAAGCAAGCAAGCCAGTCAAGTCTACAATAGTGGAAACCTGGTAGCCCAAATATGACTTTATTGAATTGAGGAGCAATCTGCGCTAGCGAGTGGACCACATGAGTGGCCTTCCATCTTAGTGGGCCGCAAGATTCACAAGCAAGACAGTCTCCCAACACAGGATAGTTCTGCCAACTGCCCTTGCATTCCTACAGTTTGTGGGATGTGCGGATTGAACCACAGCAGTGCTTCAACTGGATGCAGAGGAGGTGCACAGCTCTCTCAATGTTGTGTGCAATCAGCACAAACCTCACTTCACATGCCCTTGCTTTATGTGCATGTCACTTTCATAACAACAGTAGAAAAAATACTCTGTGGGTGAAAAACAGAACCTGGCAACCCTGTGCATGGGCAACAGTAAACAAAACGTCTTGTGGGCCACACAGTGAACCCCAATGGGCCACATGCAGCCCTCGGGCCACAGGCTGCCACCACCACTTGATAGCATGCAACTTTCAGATAATTACTACTTTGCGTGTGGCTTGTTTATAGAAGAGAAGAGGAAAGAGGTCTACGGTGGAAGTTTCACAGTGTACAAAGCCAAGAGAAACTCTCAAGTTGGTTCCAAAGCAATTGCGATGAGAGAACCTGAATAACTGGCACAAATACAAATATGCATCAAAACAGTAAGGTAAGAATATAATCTTTTTGTTGGATCTCCCCAAATCATTCATTTACGAGCACTATACTGACATTCTAGGGAACACCTAGACCAGTTGGGTGAACTTCAGAAGCTAAGTCAAGGGTCAAAGTTGTCTGAATGCAGGAAGACGTTAAACACACACTGCAGCAATCAGCACCCTTGGTGATGCTGCTGCAAAACCAGCTACAGGGCATGAAAAAGTAAATGCTTCCAAATTATTACGTCAATGTCTATTTTTTTCCTGCACAAGGCGATCTCCTTCTGCTTTTTCACAGCTATACACCATTTTAAAATATAATGAGCATTACTTCAATAGAGAAGGCTCCCATATGCTCTGCAGCAACTGCATAAAATCATGTAGGGGAAAGCTGTAGGTTTTGACAGCCAACAGGAGACAGTTGGTGCTTTTGGCAACTAGGAAGGTGGAGGAGGTGGTTTGGGCCTATAGTACTCTGAAGGGATTTGTGGCTTTTTGCCAGAGGGATGAGCTGCACCTC